TTTCTAGTTTTGCTCTAAATATACGTACAATTAAATCTGATCGATTTTGAACTTCATCATTGTTTTTAGTTCCTGCTTAATCTTTGGCCAATTCGAATTACATGTTATAGTAAAAAATATATCCGATTTTCCATAACGTTGCACAAGAACCATTCCTTCCATGTATTTTCTTAGCATATCATGAGACCCGCATGTAAATGATTGTGGTAAAACAAATTTTCTTTCAACTTCACATCCTCTTGGTTCCCCATTTTGTACACTATCTACAATATCTTGGTAAAGTTCAGCACAAATTTGTTTTTGGTTATTACGAAAATAATCTAATCTAGTAGTTTCTATTTTAATGTACATACCTACAACATATTGTTGAAATAATTTACCGGCGTGAAGTAACACAGATTTACCAGAAGACCTAATCTATAATTTATATGAATAATATTTTCAACAAGATACCTGAGTACGTTTTTTCACTTCATTGAGCACTACAAAACCCAAAAGGAAACTAAATTCAATATTTCTTGATAACGTAAGATAACGTAAAACATAAAAAATTCTAGCAAATAATATATTTACAAACCTTCGTTCTCTTTTTCGATAATTTCAGCCACAGAAGTAGTTGTGTTAGAAAAAACATCCAATGTTGACATACGATCAGGCTGAAAATTCATATTTCTACATCTCTCAATGCCTTCATGCCAACCAGATTCCCCATATGAAAAAAGTAACGGATACTGCAATGGATCATAACACCCATAATAGTAATGAACTTTGTGTGAATCATCATAATGACCATATATAGTGATATCACAAGCACGAACATTAGCATTTGCATCATCTTCTACCCATATAGCAGCTACTTGAGATGTTGTAGGAGTATTGAAAACTCTTTGATCAAGTCCTAGATCACATCGTATTTGTATTTGATGATTATGCAAGTTAGTCATATTACTTAAAGATCTAAAGAATTTACTGTATGAAATTTGTTTTTAAAATTTCGATTAAATCAACTAAAGTAGATTCAACAAAGTTTGATAAAACTTTCATATGATTTTCAACTTCGTTTTCTGTATCGTAAAAATATAACTGAATATAAGAAGGCTTAATATTTTTGGGCATAAGTTCATTTATATAATGATGCACTTGTCCCTGAACTTTGAATGTGTAAATACCTTTATACATTTTAGAAAGTTCTTTATCGTATTTTACACCAAATGAAATGAAAGTAAAATGATTATTATATCCCCCTACAATTTTTTTGAATTTCATAAAATGTAGTTCTTTAGAATAAATAAATTATACAGTTGAACTGGTGAGTCACATATAAAAAGTTTAACTTTTCCATCTGAACAATAAAACCCTTTAATTTCTCAATAAAAATTACGGTAATTACAATGTTTACAATAACTGGATGTTGGCAACATATGTGCAGTAGATGGTATGTTCAATCATTTTAAAGATATTTCAAGTTCAGAATAAAAAATATTATGTGATTTTTGATTTGAAGTTGAAGCGTTAGAATTTTGATGCATTATGGATTCATATAGCCGAGTAACAACAAAATAATTATTTTTCGGTAATATAGGATCATTTCTTCTTTTATGATAATCACTACAATTATTTCTAAATCTTATTCGCATTTCTCTCTCTCTTTGAACTCATTGTTGGCGACTGAAGGCTCTGTGCAACTCATTCCCACTTTGAGACGCAGCATTGAAGTTAACAATAACATGATCTTCATGAATAGATGTTTCCAAAATATCCATCACGATAGCAGAAAGAACTACTAAATATTTCAACTCCAATCTAAGCAATACAATCTAAAATAATACATAAACATTATTAGCAAATGTGTTAAACCATTCATACACAAAAACCATCAAAAATTAGTTATAACAAACTGTTAAAGATATATTAAATTCATTCAACTTTTTAACAATGTAAAAATTATATAAACATCAATAATACAAAATTTAAATATTAATGAGAAACATAAATATGCTTTAAGTAACGACAAAGAGAACAATAAACAATAATTAATGGTAAAAAAAAGTATTTAACTATACAAATAAACAAGCAAAAAAAAATAAATTAAAAATACACTAAATTTTAATTTTTTTAGATGCTTGAACTTATGCTAGACAATTAAATAGTTTAGTTACCATTATAGTTAAAACGAAAGACAGAAAAAATTAAACAAATAAAAAATTAGAAATTTCAGATAGTTCACCTTGCAAAAACATATAGTTTAAATATAATAACTTTTCAAAACTGTCATTATTCCTATATTATATCAAAAATCATAAGTACAAATTTCTTCATTAATCCACAATAGTATAGATACACAATACTCATTT